ATTTCCATTACATAATATTTGTTTTTACCATCTGATAAATTGAAAGTTATTTAGAACTTAAGAAGTATCATCTACTTTATCGCTTTGCTCAGATGTCTTAATAAAAACCTTCAATAATCGAAATTATGTTTTATTTTATTGATTCGTATACCCTACATTGGTAGATATAGTTTGATATGCAGTTTAAATATACAAATTATGCAACAATGCTCCTGTATTATGTGTAATATGTTGTTTAAGCGTAATTTTTAATCGATTATTAATTGAAATATTGATTTTGTAATGTCATTATGGTTTATAAAAATTAAAATTAAGTAAACAATCAGGTAGGTCATTCATTTGGTCAAAGCAACTTCACGTTTTGTGATAGGTAATAGTTACAATTCTTTTGAATGATTTCCGTTTCACTTAAAATATTTTGATCTTTCATATTCACTAAATAATTAAAATTATATTTAACTATTTTTCAGCTGTTTTCTATTGATTTTTTTTTTAGAATAAAATAAAAAGATGAGGAAAAAGTGGAAAAAATTGTTCTTTCAAACAAACGAGAGTTTCTTTTGTATAAATATATATGATAGAACATAAACATTTTACATCTTTCGTATATAACATCTTCAGATACATCTTCTCAGTGATTCAATGAACAAACAGGAAATTGCCCGTCCGTCTGTCCGTACGCAATTTCCGGACCACGGAGCCGCCTATACAGAGTATTCGGGTCAACGCTTCTCAGTAAATGCATCAAAGTTAGGTTTATACTCAGACACAAACCACAAAATAATATGCAATTTCTGTGAAATGTATATTTTAAGATCAAGATAATATTTTATGAAATAATTACTTGTAGTTTAATAACCAACTAAAACCAAAGATGCCTACTAAGTAGGTACATATTATATGATTCTGTACTTCTGTGTATCCATAAGTGATAGTACTTTACTACTTAAGTAATAGCATCAAGTAAAACGATTTGTGTATATTTCATATTATAGATATTCCAAAACACTTCTTTAGTGAAGTCGCATAAATAGATTTGTGTGGACTTGTAGTATAGTATTATCTCGACTCTTGGCCAAATAATTTCAGATCTTAGATGTAGTGTAAAGCCAAAACAAATATAGTATAATTAGAGTTTTCTAATAGGTACTTAAAAGTTGTATATGTCCTCTCTATAAAATTGGATACGGGGGACACTTTAGAAAAGTAATTTTTAGAATTGCCTACTCATTTTACAGTTAACTACGAAAAATTACAGAAAAACCACTATATGATACATAAAACTCAATAGTCGAGGTATTCAATTCCTGCGGAGTAAAAAAAATTACTGCATACTATTTCAAAACATTTTTATAATTTGAGCTATTTCAAATACATTTTTATTCTAGTATAAAGATAGAAATGATAAAATAAACATTTGTCTACTCATAGATTGTTATACTAACAATTTATATGTATATATTAAGTTATACTATTAGATGTATATAGATGTATTCGATTCTGAACGTAGCGATAAATGTTTTGATTTTACAATAATGTGTGTATTTTTATTTCTGTTTGAAAATACTTTTTCTAGTTAAAATAATTTATTTATATGGTGACAAAAGACACAAAAATGTAATCGTTAAAATTTAACAACTATTCCTATATTATATTTAATATCGGTAACTAATTTATTATTTTGTTGAATATTAAAAGGTTATACTGAAACTATTACAATAATATTAAAATGTTGGTATGCTTGAAGTCTCAACGAATAATATTTTTTAATTAAGAATATTATTATTTAATTACAATATAATAACTAAAGTCGATATTTTTAGTTTAAATACATAAATGTTAGTTTCAAATGGTTGTGATTTTGACAAAATGTTCAACTTGCTTTTGATTTTTAGTCTGTTTGGCATAAAACGAAAATAAAATATTAAAGCAACTGATTTGAGTGGGTAGTTTTTAAAGCACATTAACAATAATCTGCAGGTACCTATTTTATTAGAATTTCAAACAAATATTTGTATAAATAAATCCAATAAAACATCAAATTAATTTGTTTTGTTCTATTCATACAAATACCGTCAAGTGTCAATATTATAATTTATGTTTGATAAGAGTTTGTCAAAAAAGTACCTAATATTTTTATCAAAATTTATTCTTCTATCAGGATATAATATAATGTACAATTCTACGTAATAGCCAATAAGTGTCCCTATATTACGTATATTAGTAAATAAATCGAATGAAAATACTAAGTGAAATACATTCATATTCAGTACTTAAAAAAATCATTACATATTTATAATATAACAAAACAAACATGGTTAGGTTATGTCTGTTATGTCACATTTTGGCCAATCGAAAGTAATTGTATTGTAAAAAGTGGACATAAAATGTTTTAAAAAAGAGGGGGGAATTAAGTAACTGCAAAGTCCGTAAAGTTATTCATTTTGAAGTTATAACATAATAACTAAATCAATTTTTTCGGTTTTGGGTCAAAATTTTTCCTGGTTATTTTGTTCAGTAGGTACTTGGAATTTTATACTTTTGACCCCGCACTAAGTACCAGCTATATCAAATAGTCTACTGAAAACAACCGTAAAAGTTGAAAATTAAAGCATTTTTACTGCTCCGAAAGGTGATTACTAAGTATTTTTATGATATATTTATATTGCTATAAAAGTAATTTATTTTACTATTCGGCAGTGAATATCAAATTTCGTCAAATTTTACACTTCAGAGGCTCTTAAAATATATTTGTGTATTTACGCTCAACTTTATTTTTTAATTACAATAATATCAACAGAACATTGAGAATCTAATATTCAGTTTTTAAGCACTTTGTCCGATTAAACATTTCTTTTATCAAATACTAAAAAAAACACACATTTCTATACGTATTATAGGTATATATAGTTCTAAAAAAGTCAACATTTTGAAAATTATACCATGCAACTATAAAAAATGATGGTATAAGCATCTGGAAAAGATGTTTCAATTATCTTATTCGTGTTTAAATAACAAAAAAATCAGAAAATTGAATTTGTCGCGAAAGTTTCCGGTTTCCCTAATTTTATTTTTCTCATTATATTAATTATATTAATGAAAAGAACTGAGAATTTTTAATTTTTACTGCCTCTCGAAAGTACCAACCAGAATAATTTTCCTACCTGAGAAGATATAAAGCTCCACAGTTCCTCACAGAAACTAATAGAAACATTAAAAACCGAAATTGTAACAAGCAATTCAACAATAGTTTTATGGTTGCACTCAGTTCTAAGGGTAATGAGTTTTCAAATTGTCATTATTTTTAGATGAAATATTTTATTTGAAAATGATTACAATTTTAGTTATTATTATTTTTCAAAATCTACAAGCCGTGTCAACATCTCAAACGTAGTGTAAATACACAACAATTTAATACAAATCAATCTTTAAAAAAAGGTTATGTTAGGTTAACGGAGTATTTTAGGCTAATTAATTAATAAATAGTAATTACTTACTCGTTATTAACCTTGCGTTCCTTGATGGTTAGGTTAAAAGTAGATTTTTATAAGGAGATAAAATATTCTAAAATCACAAAAGGTTGTATACACTTATTCTACCGTTATTGATATATTATATGATTTATTATCGAAATAATTACTTTATATAATATTATAATTTATAATGTTCAAGTTAGGTTAGTCTAAAAAATAGACAAATAATAGTAGTCGACTTCTCATGAAATTTATCTTCAAAATTCACTAACTGTCAATTAGTGCTTTTAATATCCACTACAGAACTCTAGTTACTACAAAACCATGTATAATTTACTATTTAGTCCTAAGATAAAGTTGTTTTTATTATAATTATATTATTTATAAGAAGTATAATTTTTTTATAATTATTAATACCTTCGCTTTTGAATGTCAACCGGCTTAACAATAAATATTACGATTATATTTTATGAACGATAATATCGCATGGTATATTCGACGACTGCAATTGAATGCAACGGTATAATTATTTATATAGATAATATAATAATGTACAAAACAATAAACGATCAACGATCATCTCAAACATTATTATTATCACCCAGAAATTCGATTTTACTTTATCACTCTTTGAAGTACCATGGGTAACTGGGTAATTTATTCTTTTATGAACAAATAAATTTTGTTCTAAAGTTCAAAGAAGAATTATAAGTGTAAATAGCATAATGTAAATAGGTACAAGGCAAAATTTATTTTATTTTTGTCTGTTCTTTATTGACTTTGGCTACAAATGACAATCGTTATATTATGTATATTTTTAAAAAAAACCTATGAAATATTCTAGGTAGTTCACCTGATTTTAATTTAAACAATCATGCGTTGTAACTAGGATATATATTATATTTCGTTATACAAAATTACATTTTTTTTATATATATGTCGTAGGCATATAGTCAAATCAGGCATTTTATCAAATGCCTAGGCATATAGTCAAAAAATTTAATGTTTATGCAATTTCACTATCCGCCTAGACATTTAGTTAAATGCCTAGTCGTAGTATATATTATGTATATTTTTAAAAAAAACCTATGAAATATTCTAGGTAGTTCACCTGATTTTAATTTAAACAATCATGCGTTGTAACTAGGATATATATTATATTTCGTTATACAAAATTACATTTTTTTTATATATATGTCGTAGGCATATAGTCAAATCAGGCATTTTATCAAATGCCTAGGCATATAGTCAAAAAATTTAATGTTTATGCAATTTCACTATCCGCCTAGACATTTAGTTAAATGCCTAGTCATTTAATTAAATGACTAGGCATTTGACTAAATGCCTATTTCATGCCAGGCAAATAATAAAAAAACATTTTGTATTATTTTAAAAATTTCAATATATTTTCTATCAGTTATTTATTGCTATTTTATGTATAAAAAAGCTGTGTATTAATTATTAATATGAAAAACACATAGATACTCGTATATGAAATAATAGGTTTAATTTTGTGTTAATTATTATTTAGTATTGTTTTAAAAATGAAATAATAAAAAATAAATAAAAAAGGTATATTATAATTACAAGTTTTTGTTACCTATTGCTTGTTGTCACATGTTGTTATTTGGTGGCATTTGCTGGAACATTTAAGATTTTTCTTAAAACATAAGCACCTATTGGTTTGACATTGCCGCTTTCCTGCTTGACATTGACATTTAACAAAACCTTGACCGTTGAAAATTGATAAGTTTGCTACTGCTTCACGTATGGACACGAATTTGTCTTTTTGTATTTTGCTATCTTCTAAACCATTATTCGACACTAGTTGAAGTTCTTCTCTTGAACACCAATTTTTTATTATACCAACTTCTGTACCAATTTGGTAAACGCCGTTCCGAATGTCTATCACTAACCCATTTATATTTTGACTATCGAGAGGTCCTCGGTCTACTTTTGGAACACTAATTACTATTTGATCACCAACCTTTAGTTCTTTAAATAGTTTTTCACTATTTTCTGTCATTTTTTTAGCTGCTATTGTTTGCCGTTTGTAAGATTCAATGCGGTTAACTTTTATCTGTTTTTCATTATTACATAGCAGACAAATATTTTCAATATCGTTACTATTATTTATAGAATAGCTGCAATTATCAGAATGAATATTTCTTTTACATATAGTACATTTTAGTTCACTACCTGATTTTTCACAAACACTGCAGATATTATTTATGTCACTATATATTTTTTTCTTTGAAGGTATATTGTCAAAATTATGTTCTGAATTGTCTTGTAAAATATTTTCAAAATCTTCTTCACTTGATAATTTTTGAATAATTTTGGCAGGTAAGTTTGTAGAACTAAGACCTACCTTCGGTTCAGTGCCAAACAAGGCTCGATATGGCGAACGACCTAAAATTCGATGATGTGAAATGTTTTTTTGCCATTGTACAAAATAAACTCCGATTGACCACTTGGTACTTTTATTGTCTACGACCCAAGCTCGTAACATGTTTTCAACATCTTGATTTGATCTTTCTACAGATCCCTGACTCTGAGGGTGCCGTGGCCGCCCATGTACTATTTTACATTCAGGCCACAATTCTGCCAATTCTTCAATTATTTTCGCTGTAAATTCTCGCCCATTATCAGACTGAAGTATTTGAGGTGCTCCTTGTTTCAAAAAAATTTTTAAAAGTTCGTGTGCAACTTCGGTGGCTCGTTTTGAAGTAAGTGGTCGAAGATATAAATATTTGGTTGCGTGATCCTGATAGTTCATGACCCATTTAAAATTTCCATCGGGTGTTGATTGGAAATCAATAAGGTCAATTTGCCCTCTTGAATTAAAATCTGCCGATAATATTGGTTTTATAACGACGCCTTTACAAGGTTTTGATTTTTTTTTGTTACAAGTTGTACACAAATTAATAAATATTTGGATTGCTATTCGAGGAATGTTGTATTTATTTTTTAAATTCTGCTCAACTTTATCCCTTCCACCATGACCAGTCGCTTTATGGCTTTCTTCGATTTTTTCAAAATAGTTTTCATATGGTACAACATAAATAATATTTTCGGTTTTAGTTTTTGGTTTTAAAATAATATGTTTAACATTTCCTACTTCAATCAGATCATATTTACGACATAAATAATATTGGTTTTGAGTTTTAGTTTTACCTGGATTCAATTTCGCATCATTGATTTCGTTTAGAGCTTTGTCGTAGTCTTCCTGACTCCATGGCTTTTTTTTATCTTGGTTGTCGTAAATTGATTTTAATTTTTCATAAAACAATACACTGTGTGACATATTATATTTTAAAATACAAATAAAAACAATCAAAATTTTAAATATACAAAAAATGTCAATTGGTATACCTATGTTACAATATTACATGCAATCACGATCACACTACATACGATTTACGTAAACGTAATAGACGTACTAAACTAAATTATTGTACAATTCAATCGCATGTTCTGTATCTTTTTTGGTAACGTCATATTTTTGTCGTTATAATCGATAAGATTATAATTTGTCCCACGGTACTCAATATAGATAAGGTTCTCATACAACCTAGTACCCACGTTAATTTTCCAAGGTAAAAACCAATGGAACTTTTATTTTTATTTAATAAGAATATATAGTACTCACTACTCGTACTATAGACTATATTGACTATATATGCTATACAAAATACTCGTACTATCATTTATGTCTATCACATCTAATTAGTTATTACCTGAATATATTTATGATTTCATTTTTAAAACAATACTAAATAATAATTAACACAAAATTAAACATATTATTTCATATACGAGTATCTACGTGTTTTTCATATTAATAAATAATACACAGCTAATGTTTTTTTATTATTTGCCTGGCATGAAATAGGCATTTAGTCAAATGCCTAGTCATTTAATTAAATGACTAGGCATTTAACTAAATGTCTAGGCGGATAGTGAAATTGCATAAACATTAAATTTTTTGACTATATGCCTAGGCATTTGATAAAATGCCTGATTTGACTATATGCCTACGACATATATATTATTTGATTCTGGTCCGGAAATAGTGTTGCATTCAATTTGTGAGTTTGTGAGGTGTGTTAATGCAGCTCAATTAGGAGATTTTATTGGCGTATAGACTGATTGTAACTAGTAAGTATCGGTCTTCGGTCTACGCATGTTTTTCGTATTGGTTGTTATTTATTTTGCCGTTTGAAATACTTGAGTTAATCTTGTATGACCATTACAAATCACAATGTACGTTTATTATTATTTTTTTCTATTATTTTTAAAACATAATAGTATTGTTATTATAATATATAACAATCGAGAATCGTGACGTTTTGAAAATGAAAACACCACAACCACAATAGAGTTGATACACTTGGTGGGCTGCTGTATAGCCGTATTAGTACACCGTACTAGGGTTGGGACATTGTCAATTTTAATGTTCGTCTCTAACGCGCGTCTATAGCAGCGACCATAAATCCCAGTTCAACCGTTTATTACGTTAATGGAAATTACAACAGTATACCGATAAATTATCGCCAGACTTTATCGTCTTAAGAGCTTTACGCACTATTCCTATATATATATATTATATTATAAGGCGAAAAGAAAACTCTTTCACAATTTTCCTCTCATATACCTACCTTATTTTTTCCTTTTTTTTCTATCTCTGTTTCTTTTATTCCCTCCACTTATTCGTTTACGCCCATTTTCAACCCAAACAGTTGCGGATATATACCCGAAACCAGTAAATAACCAGCCGTCAATTCACATGGAAAAATATTGGATCGTTTTAAGTGAATACCTACCTTTTTTGCAGTGTACTCAGACACAACAAACACGAGCTTAAACCAAACACTTTAAACATAATTAATATAGTGAAGTTGTGGTTAGTAAATATTGCGCTGCAGTATGTTTGCGAACTGCAAAATTAAAAATATACTAAAAAAAGTTATTTTCATCTTAAACTACATCACTTATATAATAATAAGGGTATATACATTTTGAATTTCCATTCCCCGAATAAACAAGTATAATAACACATAAAGGCTCAATATATGTATACATTAGAACATCGATCTACGTAAAACTAATTTTTTATCCTACTAGAATTCGTTCCATCGCAAACTGGTGGTTAATCATAAAATATTGTGACATATAATAAAATTAACTTATTGCAGAAAGCTTCAACGTCGCAAAAATAAACATTAGTGCATTTAAGTAGGTCGATCTAACCATCAAGGAAGTACATTTTGTAAATTGAAATATCGTTGATTTCATACCAATTATATTAAATGGAGTTATTGTTCAATATTAATAATGTACATTTTATTAATCCTTATTATACTAAAAATGTGTTGATACTTTCTGAGCTTAAATATAAAAAATAGCTAACTTCGCATTTTTTTTTTTTACTTGCTCATTCCTTCACTCTAAAATGCAATTTATTATTCGTTTCAACTCCACAACTGTTGAAAAGAAAAAAAAAACATTTTTCAGTCCTCTTTGAGTTAAATAATATATCGTTTTAGCCGTTGTATAGTGTCTTGAAAAAAATCTATTCTGCCCGTAAATGACAAAAATCTACACTCAGATTGATAAAATTTAATGAACAATTCTTGCACTTTTGGAATGTGTCTTTAGTTGATTTTATCATGTACTTGTTCAAATACAAATACAATTTTATAACTTATAATTTACAGAGGCAAGACATTGTCATTGAGGAAAAGATGAATGCTAATGATTATATTTGCATATCAAATGTCGATAAATACAATATTGGTAAACAAATTAAGATTATATCACTAAAAATATTAGAAGTTTCTTAGAATAATTCATTTTTTTCGAGCTATTTTAAATGAGTACTATACTAACCTACCTAAAAACCATAAGTAAATTCAATAATACCCTTAATAATTGAATATCAGCGAACTATCTACTGTCTCCCTTCTATCCAACCCAAGTGTAACATAGAAAATGTATTGTCATCATCAAACTTAAATTAAAAAACAATATCGATATTTATACGTTAGATATTATAATAATTTATTTGATATGTAGGTAATATTTTATCTAATTAAAACTTAGATATAAATTGTTGTGTCGTAAAAAACCAACGTACAAACTACAAACACAAATAATGTTTTTAACTCATAATTAATTAAATTAATCATAGTACTTATTATAATAGTATTGTATGGTAATATGTTATATCACTCTAATATAAACTAAATCTAAAAACACAGGGTTGGTTTTGCAGCTGAACGCCAATTTGGTATGTTGTACTTAGGTCAGACTAGTGCGTTAATATATTTTTAGCGATTGTGAAGAAAGGTGTTTAATGGTATTGATAACTTTTTAACTTAAGATTACTTTTAATTTTAAATAAAACTAGATGAATTTTATTAAAATTAGTGTTGTTTTTTGATAACAACATAAAACAGCAATTTGTCATGATATGATGCCCGTGAGTCAGTTGTCAAACAATAAAAACATATTTTAATGCTCAGACATCCTCTTAATATTATTATGTTAACATTGTAAACCTATATAAATTTGCAACACTAATGTTATTTTCAATCCTGAAATATAAATATATGTATGTATAAATTAACTAAAGATTTTATAGTTTTTTAAATTGTAAACAAAATTATTGACAGTTTTTAATTCGGTCAACGTAAAATAGTTATCGATATTCTTAATTAAATGTTGATCTACAATAAATTATTCATAATACTTGGGATCTCAAGAAACAAATTCGTTGGTCGGAATAATATACTTCAGATACAATTCAGAAATCAAAAGTAAAGTTATTTACTTGAATCAAAAACTGTAGATTTGTGATTAGGATTTTATTTTTAATGAAAATATAACTCATTAGATTCCTTCTATTTTAGTGTATGTATTTTATAAGTAGGGTTCCCACGGTAAACTCGAAAACTTAAACCATGTTTGAAAGTTAAAGCATATTAGGATACCTATCCTATAATTATAAATACATTTTTTTCGATTTTTGATATTAGGTACCTATATATATTATAATTTTAAGTTTTTACATTTACATCAATTTAATAAATAATTAGTATCTGAGGTATATCATTATGATAATCAACTAATGAAAAATAGTCATTTTATATTTACTGGTTTCGTACACTATTTGGATGATGAATCATCCAAATAAACATCAAATATAGTAATGGAAAATTTAAATGCAAGTAAAGCATTAGTTTATTTCTTTGTTTCCTAGTTTCATATAATTATACAATATTAATTGTACACATATTGTATTAAAATGATATTGTTATTTACTTAGTTATATCTAATATGTAAAGTACCTACTTAGTAAATAGTTATATTAAAACTATGTAAAGGACGCTGGGTAATAAAAATTAAATATTTAGAAGGCCACCCTCAACTCTTAAGATTGACTAATTATGACATATTTACAAATTATTGATCGTCTCTAATTTATATTAAATGTGAATCGTCACATTCGCTAGTTTTTCATGACTACCAGAAAATAAACCTAATGTTTATTTTTCATATGAAGTTTTATTCGATTCGCGTAATGACTAATGGCTTCTGACATCTGAATAGTGATTACGAAAGTTACCATTAGGGTAAAGACATTAATACATTAAGAAATAATTATTATTAAAAACCCTCGAAGAAATAGGGGTTGACTATACAGTGTGTTGGTTAATTGGAAAGTAAGCTAACCTTACCTGAGTTCCGAATGTGGTGAGAATATTTTAGTGCAGCTTCCCTTTTACCATTATAAAATAATTAATATATGTAATTTATTACTTATACATAAAAAAAACTGCACTTAAACATCTGCACTACATAATAGTTATTATGTAAGTACCTACTAAGGTTACTGAATTTAAATTCATTAACATACTTTACACTGTATACTACTAGGCATAGTGTGTACCTACCAGAGGTATTCAAACTGTGCGTCGCGGCTCCTAGCTAGGGGCGTCGTGGGAGTTGTCGAAGGGAGCCGTGTAGTAAAATAAAATTGAAAACAAATAAATATTTTTACGAAAAACGTTTGCTATTATCATTGAGACACACCGGTTGGGAAACATTGAATTGTCTACAACAATCATTCCCTAAATATAGCTTTAATTTTTTTTTTATATATATAATATGGTAAATAAATAATAAGTATAAATTATAAAATATAAATTACATTCATACATAAACATTGATTTTTTTGCCATTTATAATTTTCGAGGTGTCAACATTTTGTGAAGACTTAAAGGAGCCGTGGGATGAAAAAGTTTGAATACCTCTGGTGTATATACAACTACTATAACTGTAATATAGACATTATAGACTTATTATTTTTACCATTTAATAAGTTTTCTATGGTGATACAACTTATTTTTTTAAATGAGAATCGTAATATGTATTACTGTACATTTTAAGTCATTTGATTTTTCGAACAATTATTTTGATGCATCTAAATTGAAATTCAAACGAGTAGTTTTCGCATTTTTCAACTAAGGTCTAATAATGATGATAGTTAATAGTCCTTAATAATGATTATGCATAAAATACAAAATAGATGTGATGAGTAATTTGTCCAGTTCTTTTTATACTTAGATAATTTTTACAAATATTATAAGATTGCAATAAATAATAAATTAAGGTAATTTTCAAATCATCATAGCTCTCATATCTTATAAACCTGTTATCAAAAACTATTATCCTTAATACTTAAAATCAAATAGTTCAAAAACTACTAGTTCAGGTTTCGAATTATGTACACCAACATTATCGAAAAAATATCCCCTTTACAATTTGCTTTAAAAATGGGTAGTTCTCATTTGGAAAACGTTTGTATCTCCACAGGACACTCCGGGAAAAAAGCACCTTTGGGTTCACATTAAAAAAAAAGTTAGTATAACCAAGGAAAAAAATGTAATTGCATAAACAATTCCGAAAATTTTAAAATGTGAATAAATTCACTATTAAATAAAACAATGGGATGAGATTACTTGGTTAATAATTTAGTATATTATTATTTTATTGACAGGGTCTTTAAAACTGCGACCATGAACATAATTCTCTAATGTGTGATGTTTATGACTGTAATTACACCGATTTATCTACAATACGGCCAATAAAAATTGAGCCACGATCGTCGCACATATTTGTCATAGGGGTTATTCTAATATGTTTCCCCCACAAAACAACCACGTATCATAAGTAAAAATAAAAACGTGTTAACATAATTCGATGAATTATTATTGAGTT